TATGCAGTCACATCCCTGTACTGTCTTTCCACTCCTGCATGGATCAGCACATGCAATCACAGCCCTGTATAGTCTTTCCACTGCTGCACGGATCGGAGCATCTTTGGTGGCAAGTGTCTATTGTTTGCTCTCTCATCCCACCATGTGCCACAGGTGAGAAGCCCTTGAGTTCCCACGCTAGTCTGGCCCCTTTCCGTCCTGTCCTTTGTTCCAGCCACCCCAGGGCACGCCAGTCAAGCTCAAACTGCCAGCATCTCTTCTTCTTTCCCGTGCTTTTCACTGGCCTAGAACACGGCAGTGTCTGGCAGGAGTCAGCGTGTGCTCCTTTTGCATTGCTGTGATGAAAATGCTGGCGCAAACAGCTTAGAGATGGGGGCTGAGAGATGCAGCAGAGGCTCAGAGCACTGGCTGCTCCTCCAGGGGTTCAATTCCCAACACCCACATGGTGGCTCACAGCCATTTACAGTGGGATCTGATGCCCTCTTCCAGAATGAAGGTGCACATGCAGGCGGAGTACTCATATTTATAAAATATTTTTTTAAAAAGGAAAATTTGGTTCATGTGATTTGGCCACAGGAGGTTGGGTAGAATCATGACAGCCTGTGGTGGAAGTGAGTTGTTCACTCCATCTAAGACAGGCTAGGAACAATAACTATCCAAGAACCCTCCTCTGGAGACCTACTCCCTCCAACTAGACTCCACCTCTGTAAGTTTCTAGGATTCCCCAAACAGTGCCGCTAGCTGGGCACCAAGCTCCCTGAACCTGGGGACTAAGCTCCAAACAGACAGTATAAAGATGCCCTGTTCCCTCATATCTTCGGGAGACCACAGACGTGTGCTTTATACCGACTGCTGGATCAACCCCCCCACACACACACACACATCCCCTCACCCCACCCCACCCCGACACACATCCCCTCACCCCACCCCACCCCGACACACATCCCCTCACCCCACCCCACCCCACCCCACCCCGTGCCTGGTCCGACCCCTCATTAATGATGCATGGACTCTGAGTGTCACCAAGGGCAGGAAACCTGGCCAGTCCACACATATTCAGACTTTGTGGTGCCTGCTTCTTGAAGGGTGAGGCTGGGAGACAAGGGCCAGTATTTCCACCCCAGACCTGTGACTGCATTGTGAAAGGAACTGGATTACTCTATTTTTGAAAAATCCCAAAGTTGAGAGAATTTTACCTGTTCACATTTTAGGTTGATTAAAATCCATTTACTCTTTTCTCTTTCCGTCCATCAGTCATGCTGTATTTTTGTATCAATTTATAGGCAATAGGATACATTTATTTATTTATTTTTCAAAGATAGGGTTTCTCTGTGTATGCTGGGCTGTCCTAGAACTCTCTTTATAGACTAGGCTGGCCTTGAACTCAGAGATACACCTGTCTCTTGGCTCCCAAATGCTGGGATTAAAGGTATGCACCACCACAGCCTGGCTGGGATCTTTCTCTTTAACTGTTTGTTGGCAGGATGAGGAGATTGCTCAGTGGTTAGGAGCACTGGTTACTCTCACAGAAGACCTGATGCTTAGTTAGCATCTATTTCTATTGCTGCAAAGAGATACCGTGCCCATGGCTTACAAAGAAACATTTGATTGAGACTGGCTTACAGTTCAGAGGTTCAGTCTATTGTTTTCAAGGCTTGCAGCATGGCAGCATGCAGGCAGATGTGGTGCTGGAGAAGCTGAGAGTTCTACATCTGGATCAGCAGGCAGCGGGAGGAGTCACGTGGAGCCTGGTTCGAGCATCACCTCCAGCGACACACTTCCTCCATCAAGGCCACACTCCCTCATAGTGCTAATCCCTATGGGCCTACGGGGGGCCGTTGTCATCAAACCACCACAACCCAGGTTAAATGCCAGCATCTCACAACCCTTTGTAATTCTAGGTCTGAGCATCTGTCACCCTCTTCCTACCTCCTTGGGCATACATATTGTGCAAACACATACATGCAGGCAAAACGCTCATACACATAAGATAAAATCAATAAATCTAAAACTAAGTAAACCCCTTATTAGCTAGGTTCAATATTTGTTTCTTCTAATGTAAAGTTTGCTTTCAGCAACATATATCTCTAAAACCTCCACCTGTCATTTGGACAATGCACATCCACCTGCCAGAAACTGGATTCATGATGGAAGAAGTCTAGGCTATTCTTTTAAAAATGTATCATTGTGTGTGTGTGTGTGTGTGTGCGCGCGTGAGTGTGCGCGCGCTTAGGTGCGCTTGCCTGTGGTGTACACGTGAAGACGAGACACTGAGTGTCTTCTATCACTCTCTATCATATTTTTAAAGACGGGCTCTCTCACTGAACCCGGAACTCACTGTTTCAGCGACGCTGGGTGGCAGGGAGTCCCTGGGGTCAGCCTGCCTGGGGTCACGGTGCCAGGGCTGGGGTTACGGTGCCAGTGCTGGGGTCCCGGTGCCAGTGCTGAGGCCACGGTGCCAGGGCTGGGGTCACGGTGCCAGGCACTCACTGTATGTGGCCTTTACATGGTGCCGGAGATGCCACTCAGGCTCTCGTGCTCGGGCAGCAAGCACTTGACCCACGGAATCATCAGCCCCGCCCTGTTCTTTATGGATCTGCACACTTCCTACTGCCCTGCGCAGCTTAGAAATTACAGTGGCTCCAGTTATAGGATATGGTTTAAAACAACTTCAGTATCAAATGCTCAAGTGATCATTTAAAAATTGGTAGGGAATATTTAGTTCAATGAGTAAACAGGACAGCGGGCTTGAAGGTGCTTCGGCATTTTGATCACAGCACCTGTATTAATAGTCTAAACGTAACCTGAATCTAGAGGACATTTCTGCTTCTGCAGTGGAAAGAATTACGGTAAAATAGCATCAACTTCCGTACTTTGCACAGGTCCTCTAGCGCTCTCTTCTGATCTAATGTGGTACTGCATGCCAGGCTGAAGTTGATGGACCCCTCTTGGGTTTTGTGAGGGTCCCCTCCCAAAAGGCCATACCCATGTTAAAGATTCTGCAGGCTGAGGACTGGTAAGAACTTCAGACTGTGGAGAGCTGGAACGTTGCAAAGTTACCTTGGGCTTTTTTCAGTCCCCTTGCTATCTGTTGCAGACCCATCTGACCTAACACCCTTGCGGCTATTAAGTGGAAGCTTTGGAATGTCTGAACAGACCTCTAGGCTACAGCAACCCAAAGGTTAAGAACACCACGAGAGAGTAGGTCACACTCCTTTAGCACAGCATGAGACCCACAGCAGAGATGGTCCCCTTTTGCTGTAACCCACTTACCCAATGTCTCCACCAACGGATTTAAAAGTGCTTTAAATGGGCTTTTCTGGACCTATTGACAACATGAAATCGTCGCCATGTCTGAACAGGAATTTGAGGTACTGAGATGAATCCATCTTCAGGGGCCCTAGTCACCCATGCTGACTGCAGAATCAACTCTTTCTTACATCCTTTGAGATGAAGGCTATATTGTCTGTAGAAAGAGTTCTGAAGTCAATGGAACATCTTCCTGGGGTAATGTTTCTAAGTGCATAGAATAAAATAAAGAAAATAAACAGAATCATTGTATTGGAATGCAGAGACACTGATACTGAGATACCGAATAAACAAATTTGTTGTTTAACGCCTTATTAGACAATCAGTAACTGTTATAATTTCAAAGTTATGACAATATTTTCAGATCTCTGTAGCAACAGTCACCTGGGATGTAAACACCTGTGGTTTTGTCACTGTGAAAGCAGTAGGTGGCTTGCTGATGATGTCCTGACAGTTGACAATGACAACGCATCACAAACAGGTAGCTTAGGGCGGATTTCCATCTTCCCTCTGTGTGGAAGCTGGAGTCCTAAACTATCTCCAGAGCCTCTGGGGTTCTTCCTACCTCCTCCAGCTCCCAGTGACCCCAGGGCAGCCGTGGTACACGGCTAGAAGACCCCAACCTCTCTACTCGGTCCTCACACTGCCGCCTCAGTCACTTTCATTCTGACCCGGGACACCCTTAACTGTCCCCAGGAAACAAGCCACCTCCAGGCACTGTGGTGGCACCTTCTTTCCTGCTGTGAACAGGAAGGAAGCTCTTGCTGCTAAGCAGGAGCCAACAGCCAGACAACAGTGTCAGGCAGCTTGACACACCGCGAGACCAACCCCAGGCTCCCAGGCTCCCGGAGACCAAGGCAAAGGACACGTGGACGGGAAGGGTCAGGCACCCCTTACTGAGGCTTGTGGAACTTAGTTAGGTCTGGGATGCTGGAAGAATGAGAGCCATCAAAACAAGTTCGGATGATGGGACCCGAACAAGGTGAAACGGAACCACAGAAGGTGTTTCATATTTAGTTAAAAAATTAAAAGCACTGCTCTGGCCAGTTCGTCCTCCCTCCTTCCCTCCTTCCTTCCCTCCCTCCTTGCTTGTTCAGTGTGACATAGCTAGGATCATCAGGGGGGAAAAGGACCTCGATAAGAAAATGTCCACACAAGACTAGTCTGTAGCAACTCTGGGCATCTTCTTGACTAATGGTTGATGTGGGAGGGCCTATCTCATTATGGGCAGGCCACCCCTAGGCAGGTGGCCCAGCAATGTGTAAGAAAGCAGACTGAGCAAGTCCCAAGGAAGGAGCTGTTCATGCCTCCAGGCACCTGCCCTGCTTGATGGCTATGAGGCATAAAATGAAATAAACCTTTTCCTCCCCAAAGTTGGTCAGAGTTTTCATTATAGCAACGGAAAGCAAACTAAAACTCAATAAAGCATACCACATTTACAACCAGTGGATTAATCTGAATCCTGAAAGTTTATAAATAAAACGACTGCCTTGTGGGGCCAACAATACTATGAAAATTACAATTAACTGCTCACAGGGTTAAAAAGTCCCTGCTTTGTGCCGTGTGGCACAAATAAGAACTCTAGAAGCCAATAAGAAAAAAAGGCCAAACACCCACAGTTGAGAAAGCCTTAACACACAAAAATGTTTAATGTGACCTTTATACAAAAAATACAGGGTCTGGGACGCAGCTCAGAGTGGAATGCCTGCCTCCCATGCAGAAAGCCCTGGGTTTCCATTCCCAGCACTGCATAGAAGAAAAGCACAAATTAACAAGTCCTCTGTGATGACACTTCCATCTGTGCAGAGGGCACAGGTCACAGCATCTGGTGGGCGGAGAGTGGACAGCTGTTCTTGGAGGAAGCAGGAAACAGCTTTGCTGTTTTGGAGGTGATCCCAGCAGTATTTACGGAAATTTCAATCAAGTACATGGGCCTTTTGAAGTCTTCTGAAAATCCACTCTGTCTGAGCATGCGCAAACTGTTTAGGTGAGAGGAGATTGACTGTTCCGTTGCTCGTAGAAAACGGGGACCAGCCGAAGTATCCGTCAGGGTATCCTCATAGTGAAACTCAACTGTGGAAAGAAAGGGGGGACGAACATTTACCCAAGGGGAGGACAAACAAGGTCCCCCTTACCTTCTAGGTTCTGTGCTGATACCCGGATAACAAGAGGCAGACTAGTAAGAACAAACAGCTCTTTATAACATATTACCTAGCACGAAGGCCTCATAAGGAAATGGAGACACAAAGACCAGCTTTGCTCAGCCTGAGTACCGTTAGACCGATGAAGAGCGGAAAGAGCGAGAGAAAGGGCTGGGTACAGGGACTGCAGGGCTGTCTGGACCCCTCGCACCATCCCTTTCTCTCTGGGTTCGTGAGAGAAACATCTCCCAGCCAAGAGCCTCCTCGACTCCTCCAGAAGGGCAGCGTCCTCCTTGTACACTGGATTTATTTCGGCCGACATGCTGAAGTGGCTGGGTGCACGTTTGAGGGTAAGCTTTCTGAACATCATTATCACCGTGCAATGTTGTGTAGGCAGCAAGAGGGAAACACTCAAGCGTGCTCACACACGCACAAACCACCCTGCAAGGGCTCACGTCTGCAGTTTGGACATCCGTGTATGACCTACACAACAAGCACATTTCATTCGTGTGATTGAAACAGAGCGTGGAAGCCAGAGTCTTCCTCCATCTTCCTCCACCGCCCTTTTCGAGACACGACCTCTCACTGAACCTGGAGCTCACCGTTTCAGGTCTCACCTGACTGCATCTGCCTGGCACCAGGACTACAGGAGAAGCCGCCACGCTTGACTGTTTCATGAGTGCTAGACAGCTCAGCTCACGTCTTCACATGGGCCCGACGAGCACCCTGCTCATCCAGCCAGCTCTCCCCAGCCTGAGGAAGCTTTTCAATTTTATTTTATGTCGATGAGTGCTGACTGTGTGTGTGCCTGGTGCCAGCGGAGGGTAGAAGACTAGAGTGACAGGTGTTTGTGAACCGCCAAATCTAAGTGGATGGAACGCGAGCCCTCTAGGTAACAGCAGAGATCCCAACTGCTGAGCCAGCTCTCAGCACTAACGCTTTTTTTTTTTAATTTTCTGAGACAGGGTCTCACTTTGTACCCCTAGTTGTCCTAGAACTTGCTCTGTAGACCAGGCGTCCTCAAATCAGAACCACCTCCTCCTGCCTCTTGAGTGCTGGGATCAACCCATCCGCTCAGCTCTGGGTAGTCTTTATTAACCTATTTCTGATGTGTTGATTCTGTCACTCGGGCTGGCCTTGACTGAAGCCAGCTCCGCGTTGTCAGACTCCAGCAGCAAGTCCTAGAGGAGCAGTGTGACCCACGCACTTCACCCACTCTACAGACCAGATCCTCGAGCCCATTCAAAACGCTCCGCAGAGCTGTGCTCTCCCAATGGTGGGCGGACTTGTCTCAGGGTCCCTGAGAATTTAGTTCAGTCTGCTCCTCAGTGATAATCTAAGATGGTCACGTCTGGTTGCCCAGGTGTGTGCTCCCAGCTACTCAGGATTGCAAACTCAACACCCGCTTGGGCTACAGAGAAAGTTCAAGACAGTCTGGGCAACCGAGGAACTATGTTTGCTTTTCCCTCTGGCTGGCACTCTCCATGGAGGCCCTGTGCTTCTACAGGTCTGCCCTGGGCTATCAGTCACTCTGCCTGTACCAAGGACCTGTCTATGCTGGTTTACCGCTGCGGTTTCTTGGATGGAAGATCCTTCCCACTTTACTGCCTCCTGCATGCCAGGAAAGTGCTATACCATTAAGCGGTACCCCGGCACTTTATTAACTAAAAAGAATTTTCTTTGCAAAGGACTCACATGGAGTTCACTTCAGAGACACACTGCTGTCGATGCCTGGTGTGAGGAGGTCATGCAATAGGTAAGTGGCCGAGAGTGTGGGCTTAGGCCTGCAGTTAAGTCTTAGCTCACTTCTCTCTCTCTCTATTTATTATTATTATTATTATTATTTTGGTTTTTCGAGACAGGGTTTCTCTGTGGTTTTGGAGCCTGTCCTGGAACTAGCTCTTGTAGACCAGGCTGGTCTCGAACTCACAGAGATCCACCTGACTCTGCCTCCCAAGTGCTGGGATTAAAGGCGTGCGCCACCACTGCCTGGCCTCTCTCTTTTTTTTAAGATTTATTTTTATTTATTATGTATACAATATTCTGCCTCCATGTATGCCCGCATTCCAGGGTAGGGCTCTAGACCTCATTACAGATGGTTATGAGTCACCATGTGGTTGCTGGGAATTGAACTCAGGACCTTTGGAAGAGCAGCCAGTGCTCTTAACCTCTGAGCCATCTCTCCAGTCCCCCTTGGCTCACTTCTTACAAGCTATGTGATCCCAGATGGTATACTCAGTACAAGAAACAGCTTTCTCTTTTATAAACGGCAATATATGGTCATTCAATGGGACTGTTAAGAGTATTTTTTTTAAAGATTTTAAATTTATTTTAGCTGGGTAATGGTGGTGCACACCTTTAATCCCAACACGTGGGAGGCAGAGGCAGGCAGATCTCTGAGTTTGAGGCCAGTCTTGTCTACAGGGCAAATTCCAGGACAGCTGGAGCCACACAGAGAAACCTTGTCTTGAAAAACAAATTAAATTTAAAAAAGTAAATTCTATTTTATGTATATGGGTATTTTGTCTGCATGTCTGTATGTGTACCGTGTGTGCAGTACCTGTGTTCAGTACATGTATGTGCACTGTGTAGACATGTATGTGGGGGCCAAAAATGGGAGTCAGGTTGTACTGTAGAGTTATAAATTGTGAACTGCTAGGTGGGCGCTTGGAACCGAATCCAAGGCATCTGCGAGAGCAGAAAGTTCTCTTAACTGGTGAGCAGCCGCCCAGTCTGCTGTCACTAATTTGTGAAAGAAAGTTTGTAATGGGTTTCCCTAGCACAATGCTAGGCTGACATGACGCTATCCTCATGATTAAAATAGCTAGCCAATCACACTAACAATACAGCTAACCTTACACCACAGAGAATCTGCCATGTTCCCACAGTGACACTGTAATGCTCCCCTTCTACCACCAGGAGGCATATGATGGACCCAAAGTATTGAGAAAGCCAGTCTGGAGTTTTCTTGGGGACGGTTTAAAGTTGCTTTCTTGGGCACCTCAGGTCTACTCTGAGCCTTCATTTCTGTTTGTACTGGTCTCTAAAGGCCAGACTTTATCTGTGGCAACAATAGCTGCTAACTGCATGCATGTCTGCTAGGCTGTGAGCATGCACACCTGCATTGGTGTGCACATACATGTAAGTATATTCTTGATATTCAGTATATTTCAGGGTAAACAACATAGTGAGGAAAACTACAGAGAAGCAGACCTAGCCCACGAGGAGGCTGTGCAAGTCTCAACTTGAGGCATCCTCACACCACGGAGACACACATACTGGACACAAGGAAACTCTTCCTCCCTTCCCCCCTCCTGCCCCCATACACTGGAAGGGGGCCTGGGCTCATCAGCACTAGAAACAAGTGTCCCAAACCGAGACATACTGGAGCCCTGCTGGACTCTGGGCATGGCTACTTTTTTTTTTTTTTTTTTTTAAAGAAGCACCACAGATTGAATAACTGTCCCAGGCACATGAACCTTGGTTGGATGCTCTGGCTGACACGAGAGCGGAGGAAGGAAGGAGTGGGCAGCTATGCGGTGAACTGTCGGCCTTGAGTAGTTCTGGGGACCTGTGACCTGAGGAGAGCCCTGCCATGAGCCCCACTACTAGAGTTACCTCAGCAGGAATACAGCCAAAGCCATGTAACTCTCCAGTGAGGTAACAGAGGGCAAAAGCTCGGGCTCGGCAGCTCAAGGAATTCTGTGCCTTAGAGAGCAGGTCACACTGGGAGCAAGGCAGAAGCGTGAAACAAGATGGAGCACACTAGAGGTGGCTCTGCTTGAGGAAGCTGGGGGGCCGCTGGGTGCTCTGGGGCATCTCATCTCATTGCATGCCCAGCAGGAGAGTGTGACAGACCTGACTCCATTGGCTCTGGATGCTGCGTTAGCCTGTGTATATGTTCTTCTTTATGACTGCAGAACAATCCCCCCTTCATTTTTTCCCCTTTGATGTTGTCCGGGAGAAGAGCATGTCATGCCACGGTGTGCCTAGGGAAGGTTGGAGGACAGACAACTTGGGAGAAGGAAGGATCTTTACTAGCTGCACCTCCTCGATGAACACATTCCATCCATCTGTAAGGAGAACGGATGTCTTTCACAGTCAAAAGGTTGTCTTAAGGAACTGGAGAGTTGGCTCAGCGGCTAAGAGTGCTTGCTGTGCTTGTAAAGAACCCGAGTTGATTCCCAGAACCCACATGGTGATACACAGCCACTAGTAACTCCAGAACAAGATCTGACCTCTACGGTCACATATAATACATGAATACATAAAATTATAAAATAACATTTTAAAAAGTCGCTTTATTTTTTAATTGTTTTTATTGAGCTATATATTTTCCTCTGCTCCCCTCCCTTCCTCTCCCTTCCCCTCCTCTTCAACCCTCTCCCATGATCCCCATGCTCCCAATTTACTCAGGAGATCTTGTCTTTTTCTACTTCCCATGTAGGTTAGATCCATGTATGTCTCTCTTAGGGTCCTCATTGTTGTCTAGGTTCTCTGGGATTGTCAATTGTAGGTTGGTTTTCTTTGCTTTGTGTCTAAAAGTCATTTATGTGTGAGTACATATGATACTTGTCTTTCTGTGTCTGGGTTACCTCACTAAAAATGATGTTTTCTAGAACAATCCATTTGCCTGCAAATTTCAAGATGTTATTTTTTTCTGCTGTGTAGTACTCCATTGTGTAAATGTACCACATTTTCCTTATCCATTTTTCTGTTGAGGGGCATTTAGGTTGTTTCCAGGTTCTGGCTATGACAAACAATGCTGCTCTGAACATAGTTGAGCACATGTCCTTGTGGTACGATTGAGCATCCTTTGGGTATATACCCAAAAGTGGTATTACTGGGTCTTGACAAAGGTTGTTTCCTAATTTTCTCAGAAATCACCATACAGATTCCCAAAGGGGCTGTACCATCTTGTACTCCCACCAG